GTCCCAGCCACTCAGGAGGCTGAGGCAGGAGAATAGCATGAACCTGGGAGGCGGAGCTTGCAGTGAGCCGAGATCGCACCACTGCACCCAACCTGGGTTAACAGAGCAAGACTCTGTCTCAAAAAAAAAAAAAAAAAAAGTGGTTAGAGCAGGGCTGGGTGTAGGGGCTCATGCCTGTAATCCCAGAACTTTGGGAGGCTGAGGCGGCCAGATCACTTGAGGTCAGGAGTTTGAGACCAGACTGGCCTAACATGGGTGAATCATTTCTACTAAAAATACAAAACAAAAAAAAATTAGCCAGGCATGGTGGTGAGTGCCTGTAGTCCCAGCTGCTTGGAGACGTGAGGCACAATGAATTGCTTGAACCCGGGAGGCAGGAGGCAGGGGTTGCAGTGAGCCAGATTGCACCACTGCACTCCAGCCTGGGGTGACAGAGGCCAAGACTCCATCTAAAACAATAATATAATAAATAAATAAATAAATAAAATAAGAAAAGAGTGGTTAGAGCAGACATCTTTTATTCTTTGTCTTGTTCCTGATCTTAGGGGAAAAAACATTCAGTCTTACCATTAAGTATGATATTAGTTGTAAGTTTTTCAATAGATACCCCTTCAATCAGGTTAAGGTAATTGCCTTCCATTCCCGTTTTTAGAGGTATTTTTCTTAGTAAGGACGTTATTTTGGTGAAATGCTGTTTCTGTGGTTTATCATATGACCGTGTGATTTTTTTAAATATTCTATTTGATACATTACATCAATGACGCTATGGATTATTTGAGACCTAACCTTGCAATTGCCGTGTGATAAGGTTCCACTTGGGTTGGTGGTGTATAATTCTTTTCATATGTTGCTTAGATTCGTTGCCTCGTATTTTGTTGAGGATTTGTGCATCATATTCACAAGCAATATGGTCTGTAGTTTTCTTGTTGATATATGTTCTGCTTTTGGTATCTGGGTGATGCCTCATAACTGAAGTGGGGAAATGTCACGTCTTGTCTATGTTATCGAATAGTTTGCGGAATAATTGGTATTAATTTCGTCCTTCAAAAGTTGGCGTAGATATTCAGTTGGTGAAGCATTTGGGCGCTGAACATGTGTGTGTGTGTGTGTGTGTGTGTGTGTGTGTGTGTGTAGTTTTTTGTTGTTGTGTTTACCAGTCCAGTCCTCTTTGACTTGTTATCCGTCTACTTCAGAATTACGTAGTTTATTCTCAATTGTTTTGGTGGCTGTGGCCTCACTAGGGAATTTGGTCCATTTTCATCATCCTAATATAAAATTTGTTGGTGTACAGCTGATTCAATTATATCCTTTTTTTTTTTTTTTTTCTTGAGACGGGAGTCCTCGGCTCTGGTCACCCAGGCTGGAGTGGCAGTGGCCGGATTTCTGCAGTCACTGCAAAGCTTCCCCGCCTTCCCGGGTTTACGCGCATTTCTCCTGCCTCAGCCTCCCGAGGAGCTGGACTACAGGGCGCCCCGGCCACGCTGTCGGCCCGGCTAAGTTTTTTTTTTTTTGATTTTAGGTACGTTATTTTTTAGATAAGAGACGGGGTTTCCACCTGTGTTAGGCCCAGGATGTCCCTCGATCTCCTGACGCGTGATTCCGGCCGGTCTCGCTCCCCAAAAGTGCGCGGATTACAGGCTTGAAGCCACGGCGCACCCGGCCCATTTATATCCTTTTATAATGCTTTTTTATCTGGTGCCTCCTCTCTTTCATTTCTGATTCTGGTATTGTAATTTTCGTCTTTTTTTTTTTTTTTGAGACAGGAGTCTTACTCTGTTCACCCAGGGCTGAAGTGCAGTGGCATGATAAGAGGGCTTCCTGCAGCCCTTTGAACTCCTGGGCTTAGGGTGATCCTTCAGCCTCAGCTTCCCAAGTAGCGGGACTAACAGGCATGCACCACCGGACCCAGCTAATTTTTCTTTTATGTAGAGATGTGGTCTCCACTATAGGGTCATCCCAGGCTGCTTTTGAGCTCCCTGGCTTCAAACGAATCCTCCTGCCTTGGCCTTTGCCAAAAGCACCTGGGATTACAGGGTGTGGAACACCGCCCGCGGCCCCAGCCAAGTCTTCTTCTCCTCTTTTTTTCCCACTGTGGTCAAACCTGGGCTAAAAGTTTGTCCAAACTTTTGTTGATGTTTTCAAAGAAAGCCCCAGGGCTTTTGTTTCATTAATTTTTCTCTATGTATTTTTCTATCTCTATTCGTTATCTTACTGTAATATTATTATTCTTTGCTTGCTCTTTCTGGTTTAGTTTCTCTTTCATTGTCGTTAACGGTGGAAGGTTAGGTTTAAGGTTATTTGATTTTGAGATTCCGTTTCTTTCCTTTTTTTTTTTTTTTTGAAGGACGGTAGGTCGTCGCTCTGTCGCCTAGGGGCTGGGAGTGCAGTGGCTGGATCTTCGGCTCACTGCAGCAACTCCACCTCCCGGGGTTACGCCATTCTTCCGTCCTGCGCCTCCGCGTAGGTAGCGGGACTACCAGGTGGCCCGGTCACTCGCCCGGCTAGTTTTTTGTCATGGTTGTTTTTAGTTAGAGACGTGGGGGGTTCAACATGTTAGCCAGGATGGTCCTCGATCTCCTGCCTCGTGATCCGCCATCTCGGCTCCTCCCAAAGGTTGCTGGGGTTACAGGCTTGAGCCAACCGTTGGGCGCCCGCCAAAGATTCTTCCGTTCCTTAATATAGGGGCAATTTCACAACCGATATGTATATTACATTTACACTTCTAGGGCGATGGTCTGTCTTTTCTTTTTTTTGACATGGGGGGGTCGGTCACCCTCGCCCAGGCTGGAAGTGCCAGGGCTTGTCGCGTGATCTCAGCTCACTGCAACGTCCGCCTCCCAGGCTCAAGTGATCCTCCCACCTCAGCCTCCTGAGTAGCTGGGAACACAGGCACCAGCTAATTTTTTCTGTTTTTAGTAGGGAAGGGGTTTCACCATGTTGCACAGGCTGATCTTGAACTCCTGTGCTCAAGCAATCTGCTGCCTCAGCCTCCCAAAGTGCTGGGATTACAGGCGTGAGCCACTGGGCCTAGCCTTTACCTGTGTCTCATAAGTTTTGATATGTTGTGTCTTTATTCCTGTTTATCTCAGAGTATTATTTATTCCTGTTTATCTCAGAGTATTTTCTGATTTCTCTTTTGATTTATTATTTGAGACATTGGCTATTTGGGAGTGTGTTGTTTACTTTCCACATATTTGTGAGTTTCCAAAGTTTTTTTTCTGCTATTGATTTCTAATTTCATTCCATTGTGGTTGGAAAACATACCTTGTATGACTTCTGTCCTTTCAATTTTATTGAGGTTTTCTTTCTTTCTTTTCTTTTCCTTTTTCTTTTTTTTTTTTTTTTGAGATGGAGTCTCATCTGTCCCCAGGGCTTGGCGGAGCATGTGGGCACTATCTCTCGCTCACTGGCAAGCTCCACCTTCCTGGGTTCCGCGCCGCCATTCTGCCTTGGTCTCAGCCTCTCCAAGGTGGCTGGGACTACAGGCCCTGCCACACCGCCCGCTAATTTTGTTGTATTTATGAGTAGAGCGACAGGTTCATTCATGTTTGCCCAGGGCGATGGTCCTCACATCTCCTGACCTTTCATGAT